CTTTTGGAGGGTCTCTTTCCTTTGGTGTTCCCCTTTTTGGTGTCAATTCGAAACCAAAAAGGGAATCACCCATATTAGGGGAGCCCTATTTTGAAGCAAACCCTTAGTCAACTACCACCAAATGGTTCCGAGTTGTTCTTCCCGTGGAACTCCATTGGGGGTCTGAGGATCTTGACAAGAGGATCGTGCAGATCGTCACTGAGCTCCGACTCATCAAGATGGACCAAGAAAAGGTGCCGAGCAATGAGCCTGACTTTGGGGCGAAGCGGTCAGTGGAGGATAGGGTTGGGACGAAATTGGTTTGCGCGTTGGTCAAACTTGGAGACCCTTGTGGTGATTGGTTTTCTTTCAGTTTCCCTTCAACGCATACAAAAAGGGAGCTTCTATTTTGACACATACACACGCGCACGTTTAAGGAAGTAACCATGCCCCCCTTTAAAGGGAAACTCAAAGGAGAGTGTTTTGAACTTGTCGAAGCAGGGGGTTGAGTCGCCCAACTCTGGTGGAGGACAAGCTGATTTCGGACTTGAAGGCCGTGAAAGAAGGAATTGACTCCATCAAACAGTCTGTGAATGGCAAGGGGACTCAAAGCCCCCCTCCTGAGGTGATGACCCCACCGCAGCCCATGGTTTGGTCGAGCGTGGTATCACGGCCATGCTCGCCCCCGCGCAGCGGGCCTTTGCTGAGACCTTCCGCTTGCGTCCGTCCCGTGCACGTGTCACCGCCCAAGGCCTGGGGTCCGGCTATGCCCCCCGCGCCCGTCCGAGTGGGCTCCGTCCTGCAGGAGCCCGTGGCGCACCCGGCGGCGGTGCCGGCGGGCTTCTTGCCGCCCAACCCGTCGCCGCCGTCCAACCCGACCACCGAAAGCTCGGAGAGCACAGAGCACGACGGGCATGAGGAGCGGCCAGACACCCCTCTCGTGGTGCAGGTCTTCTGCGCCACGATCCCCGGGTTGCCGGTCATTTCTGGGGAGTATCACCTGGTGCATGGGGAGCATCCCAACGGCAGGCCGCTGTGGAAGCAGAGAGATGGCGAGCACTGGCTCTACTGCGGAACAAACAACCGCTGGTTTGTGGGTGGCCGCGATGCAAAAGATTGGAAGTTTCACTGTGAAGCCGGGTTTATTTATAGCGAGCCCGTCCTTGATGGGCGAATGCCACACCAAGCTGCAGGAAGCTGGGCCAGGTTTCAAAATGGGGTCTTCCTGGCAGATCCTTCGGTGACAGTGACACCCTTAGTGCCACACTCGCACTAGTGTTTTTCGAGGACAGTTTTATGAATGTTCAAACTTCGTGCGTCAGCCAAAGATCGCGGACACACGCCTGGGTTGTAATATATTTGATGAATGTCGTAATTAAGACCTCAAGAGGGTCCCCCATCATGGTGTGGCCTCTTTGTCGTGCCAAACAATGGCACCGGTACCCCAGCCGTGGTTCATGGTGCGGCTTGCGAAATGGCTTGAGACATAAAAGCTTGGCCCAGTAACTCGCATGGCAGCCGGAAGACAGGCAGCTGAATGCTGGTAAAACGCCCAGGCAGCACATTCGATGACTTGAGAAACAGTGGTCCGCAGCTGTCAGGCAAGAGGATCGACATCATACCTCACACTGGAATTGCTGTGTTTGGGAAAGAGTGCGCCAAACTGTGCAACTTGACTTGATTTGTACGTCGACACAGTTGGCCCTCATAGGGATGCGCTGTCAACGATGGCGAGGTGCTGGTGGATAAAGTTTGGCGGACAGTTCTGTGACAAATTTGAGTAGCTTGATACTTAACGACCAGCAATGCAGCTCTTATGATTTGTGTTTCTTGAGGGTACCCCTTTTCAGGTTGGTTTACGGGTGGAGTCAGGTGAAGGATATAAGCAGAACTCAAAGACGACATAAATGAACGTGATTAGCAAGAGAATGCTTTACCAGGATAGGAAAGGCAAGTAATAAGAGATACTGTTCAACCTGGATTCTTCCCACACCACAAGCTGTTTCGATGAGAAGCGAATAGACGTAGTATGAGAGAATGTGGGTGGCAGCTTTATCCAATTTCCAAGCCCACCAACTTTTGTTTGTTCCTGACATGACTTTTGAAGAGATAAAAAGAGTAAAAAGGTGCGACACAACGTTATTCTCATAGGGACACCAAAGGGAACTCTTCGGACATACCCACAATATATGAGCAGACCCAAGCAGAATGCTTCCAGGGCATAGAGGCAGAGGTTCAGAGAGTTAAGCAGAAAGAGAGAGAGAGAGAGAGATAGAGGCGGCCCACGTGCAAAGTTGGACCATGAGGAACAGGCGGGTGATTCAAGCGATTGGCGCGCACGAGATCCAGTTTATTCAACGCATGCCAAGCGAGAGAGGTACAATCGAGAGAGTACAGAAAGAAAGAGATTGAGTCTGGAACGAAGTACTGCAAACACTGGAAGATGTGGCAAGAGCAGGAGAACAAGGAGCTGTTGAAAGAACAAGCAACCAATACGTGAATACATTAATGTGGAAGTTGGGAACAAAGAACCGGGAAGACATGGTGAGTTTAGGAGTACAGCAACAGGACATTGAACACATCACACCCTTTGCTGCAATTGGGAGATCTGAACAAAAGCTAAGACTTGGACCAACCAAACACTTGGAGCGCGCAGGTACTTCTTCGGAGGAGGACCTCAGATCGGCACTCCCGGGCAGTCTGTGCCGGTGCCAGTGGCCCAGGCCTGTCATAGCAAAGCATTTCGTGGTAGAAGTGAAGGGGGTAGTTGACTCGTTGGAATGCCAAACCACGACCCCGCTCCCCAAACTCCCCAAACTCCCCAAACTCCCCAAACTCCCCAAACTCCCCAAAGTCCCCAAACTCCCCAAACTCCCCAAACTCCCCAAACTCCCCCCGAATGGTGGTAGGTTGGGGTGGGTGAGTGTTGGTCTGGTTTGCGGCTGGAAGCCCCGGTGACACTCGCTCAGCCGTTGAATTGGGTCCGCAGGTTCTCGAGCTCGGCGAGACCTCGAAGACCTGCGAGGAGTTGGAGCAGTGCGAGCCACAGGGGAGTCAAAAAGGCAACCGATGACGGGATTCTCCCAACCAATAATGACCCAGGTGGTGGGTGCGAGGCGACACGCGAGTGGATTTGCGCTCAGGTACATTCGTGATGTGCTGTCCTTTCAGCACAATGAGCAAAACTATGACCTGATGAAGCATAACTGCATCTCGCTTGGATTGGCCGGGCATGGACAGCCAGATGGTTTGGAGAAAGGCGGCAGAGCGGGTCAAAAGCGATGTGTCTGTTTGACAAGGCAACCATTATGCGGACGACGTGGCGAAGTTCCTGCTGGACGGGAAAGGCCTAAGCCACTGCTTGGCTTCTGGTTGGCGCATCTTGATGCAGGTCTGCCCAGTAGCATCGTCAATGTGGCAGATGAAGCTCTCTCAACGCCTCAGGGTCAGGCCACTGCGTTGGATGTGCTGGAGTGCCGTTGGTCAGTCGACTGCAGCTAGGCCTTGAGAGGCATGATTGAGAATATGGAGCGGAGCATGCGCTCGGGAGGCGCACCGAGCTTTCATCATTGCAGCCACGTGTGTGTGTGTGTGTGAGCAACAGTTAAATTCTGATTGCTGACATTTAGTAGAGGGGATGACATGGCTCGGACTCACCAGAATACGATTGGGAAATGCGGGTTTGCTCAACAGTTCCAGTGTAGTAGGGGGACACAAGAAGTATCGGCTGCTATAATCGTGCAGGTGGGTCTATGAATCCATTCGGCTCACAGGCCCGGCTCGCAGCTTTGGTAGCTGATGGAAGTTGTCCAAAGGATTCCGGGTTCCCTGTAAGGTCTTTCCCTTTGGGACAATCTGAACAGTTTCCTTTTGGTGGGGTGATGTTCTCTGTTGGTCCACCACAGACCTTTGCTCGTTTCGTCTAGGCCAGCGCTGTGCCGGATGTTGCGGCACCAGCTGCCCAGGAGTCTTTGGGAGAGCTGGAGGAGCGCGCGGGTCGAAGTTGGTGACTCTGTAGCGCATGTGGTCGGGCCACCCAAGCAAAAACAGGGTCAGATATTGGACTTGCAGGTGGCGTTGACAGAACTCGCCAAGAACGAGCAAGAGGCGCACGCACAGACATGTGATCTAGGGATGGATCAAAGGAAGACTGCAGGTGAGACGAACTGCTCTACAGATGCTTCTGAAAATGACAGAGTGCGCCCTCAGGGCTGTGCCGATTTTATGGTGCAAGTCAGCGCTTCAGCTTGTTGTTGCTCTTGCTTGACACTTGCTTGATGAGGAATGTGGAGAAGAACCCAAGCGAGGCCAAGTTCCGAAGGATCAAAATGGCCAACCCGGCCCCAGACTCAATAATGGGTTTGTGAGATTGCACCGCGTCTTGCGGTGCTGCGGTGCCTCTTGCCCATTCTGCAACGGCGCGCAGAATCTGAAGCTGCATTCGGCTCTGTTGGAAGGAGGGGCAATATGACCTGAAAGAACCATTGCCAGCTGTCAAGGGGCACCTCTAGAATCTGTGCAACAACTTCGCAGCGAATACATGCCACGCAGTGACACAGCTCAGTTGCACAGTTGCCACTGGTGAACACGAGCAACTGTTTTGTTGTACGAAGCCTCGTGCTTCAAATGCACTTGAGTCAAAATTGCCAGTCCATGGTGAATCAAGGAAGGACATCGGGGAGTTCACTAAACTTAAGGCCAAAATAACCGGGGACAAGCCCTAATTTCTCCAATGTCCTTTGGAGGAAACCGCATATTCTGATGGCTCAATTGGCGCCTCTGGAAGCACCTTGCCAAAATGACGGTGGCTCATATCCTATAAGCGACCCATATTCATATTCTACGGTGAATGTTACAGGACTTTGTATGGCTTTTGGGGAAGCCACAGGTTTTGGACACAGGGACATCCTCAAATCCATATCCATCTCTTGGAAATCAAGCTCGGGGAAACCAAGCCAAAGGGACACCAGAAAAAAAAAAGTAAAAAAAAAACGGCCAATCTCGATTGGCCGGCCTTCGCCATGTCGACCGGTGGGATCCCCTCGCTCGCTGAGCTGCAGATGTGCCCCGCCTGGTGTGTCGTTTCAGCTCAGTTTGGTTGAACTGCAAATATACACGTATACATACACATGGATGTGGCTCAAAATTAAACGGCTGGGGTTACGCAGGTTTTGGTCCATGTTTCCACTTACCAGGGAGCCATTTAGGGTACCGGTTTTTTGAGCCACAGCCATATCTTCAAACATGCACCATGTATATAACAGAGCCGGCGAAGCAGGTCGGGAGCTTCTAGGCAGGTAAGGATATGTAGAGCAAGGCTGTGGGTTTGCGTGCCCGGTGTCCCGCCCTCGCGCCTTTTTCTTGTTGTTGTGCGGTGGACAACTGCTTCTTGTGTCTTTGGATCCCTCTATAAACATGATGACAACATCAACAGCGAAATGCAACAAGAAACTTGCGAGCCTTATGCAAGGCCTCTTAGGTCTCACGATCCATGTGTCGGTGAAAGTGGTGAGGTGTGGAGCCACGTGCACAAGACTGAGTGCAATTGTTTAGGCGCTGCAAACGACAAGCCAAGCAAAGTCTTGTATCTACCTGATCTACTGCTCTATCTATCTATGTATCTATCTATCTATCTATTTATCTATCTATCTATTTATCTATCTATCTATTTATCTATCTATTTATCAGTCTTTCTATCTCTCAATCATATTTCTCTTTATCTATCCCCCTATCTATCAAATTTATCAATCGATCTCTTCATTTAGCTACCTATCTTTGTATCTATCTACCTTCTATTGAACACTTTTTATCTGTCTGCCTCTTCACTATCTAAGTATCTACGTACGCGCTATCTCTGCAGCCCTACCTCTCAATCTCTCTCTATCGATTTATCTATATATCTACCTATCTGTCTATGTGTCCCTGTCTTCAGGTCTCTCTACCTCTCTCTCTCTCTATATATATATATATATGCTACCCCCCTTGAAATACTCAGGTTTTTGGCCAGAACTGAGGTTTTTTTGCCAGACTGGGGGTGACAAATTCCTTGCGATTTTGAAATGAACTGACTGGACGCTCAACTCCATGCAAATTCCAACCAAGCAGAAGTTAAGCTCAACGTTGAAGGAGTTGCGAGTTGTGTGGTCACATTGGCGTGCGCGAAGTGCACTTAAAGCCACACATTGGAGTATGCAAAGTTCACTTTGGCAGCTCCAGCTCAAAAAACACAGCTGTCCAGTTTGGCAGCCTCAGCGCGCCTGTAGCAGCTCTACTATTGTGTGTTTCTTATTTTTGTTTGGCAGCGAAATTCACCAAATCATCAACTTGAGGAAAAGGAACTCATTCCTACTTCATGTCCTTGCGCAATTGCATTTTCATGTTAACTCGAGTGTTGTGCAGAATTCCATGTGCATGCTAGTTCAATCTATTTGAAACATATGTTGCAAAGCAACTATCCCATGTGTGTGTGTGTTGCTTGTCTAACTTGGTTCAATCATCGCCAATAACAAGCATTGAAATTCAAGTAAGAGAAGGATATCCAGTTTAAACGCTTTCGAGTTCAAACCAAATTCAAGTTTACTCGGTTGGAGTTTCTTGTGCACATCAAGAATCAACTGGAGAAGATGGCTATTGTCCTTATCGAACTCCATGTGGAACGTGCTTTCTATCATAGATCTTTTTCTTGGCATAAAAGCTGTAAAACGGAGTGTTTTTCAGCATTTGCTCAGATCGCGTTGCCCTGGCTCGAAGATCGAGAATACAAGATTCCACAAACATATGTTTAGAACATCCTCAATCCTGGTCCCCTAAAAGCTTGACAGTTTGATCTAGACTCAGTAAGGTTTTGCCCCCTGCATTGAAGATTGAAGATCTACTATATTTTCTTTTGAGAATCTTCCATCCTGGCCAGCCCTCAAGTCCACAAAAAACCTGTAAAGATGCCAACAACATTTTTCCCCCCTGGCCAAATGCAGGCAGCGCAAGTGCACATCCACAATTTGATTCTGACAACGTGCAGTCTGCCTTTTAGATTCTTCAAATCCGCACTTAGGGCAATCCAGGATCTGAAGATTGAAGATTCTCCGACGACTCTTTCTGAACTTCTCCCACTATGTGCCTAGGGAAATCCAGGATGTGCTAGCACGTGCTAGCACATCCTGGATTGAAGATTGAAGGTTGAAGATTCTCAGGCCACTTGTTCTGGAATCTTTAATCTATCCTTAGGACAAACAGATATGTGCTAGCACGTGCTAGCACATCCTGGATTGAAGATTGAAGATTGAAGAGTCCCAGAGAGAGTTGTCAGAGAATCTTCAATCTTCAATCTTCAACCCAGGAGCCTCATTTTTAGAAGCTGGAACGTGTGTTTTGCATGCATTTTTACAGCCAAAATGTCAATTTCTTGCCAAAAACCTGAGTATTCCAGGGGGCGGGTACCATATATATATATATGTATATGTATATATCTATATCCATCTATGCCTCTATCCACCTCCATTTATCTGCCTATCTATCAAAATCTATCTATCTCCCTCTGCGCATCTACAATAAATCTATCTAGCTACCCTGCCTTTCTATCTCTCCCTCAATCTATTTATGTAGTTATCTCTCTGTCTGTCGAGGTTGCGGAAAGTGTTCAGCCTGCCACGACATCTATACACCAACCACACCTTGCCTAAGTGTGTCGCCTGTCAAGTAATCTCTGCCTGACCTCTCGGCCCCGCTGCGCCTGCCACGAAATCTGCACCTGACCTTGCAAAAGTGCCGCGCCTTGAAACCTTGCGAAACTTTTGCGTTTCGGCGCCAATGGGCCGTGCCCGAACCTGCGCCGAACCGACGCCGAACCCACGCCGCGCCAGTGCTAGACAGGCGTCGAGACAGAGGTGGTTGACATCGACGCAGACCCGCCAAAACCTTCAGAGGATCACGCTTTTCGCGATTTCTATTCCCCCGCCGCACGCCCACGCATGTTTGTCGCATGCATTCCTTCTTTCTTAATTTTATTTGTGTGCTTGCTATCTGCATACGCTATCTGCAAGAGCTGCCTTTTTGTATGCGCAATCTGACGTTAAGCTATCCATCTGTGCAAGCTACCTTTCAATTTGTTTCCGCATCACGGAAGTTTCTTCTACGCTTCCGTCTGTTGCAGTTTCTGTGCCATCTATTGTTCTGCAAAGACACTTAAAGGGAGGACGCTCGGAGTCCCATTTCGAAGCTGAGGCATGGACGGCACATCAAAGAAGCCATAGACGAGCAGCCACCACCTGCAATGGTCTCAGAAAGTTCTGGAAGTCCAGGGTTTCCTTTGACTTCCGCGGTAGACTGAAACCCAAGCATTTTTCTTTGCGGAAATCCAATTTTTCGGGTTTTACCTTGGTTCAAACATGGGACCCCGTACAGGTGGGCATTTTCTTTGCGAGGTGTGTCCTTACCCTGCAGTTTCAGGTTCGGTGGTCCTGGTATCTCGGCCCAACTGGGACGCTGGTGCCTGGTGCTCAGAACATGATGTTGTTTATGTGAGTTGTCTCAAATGGTGGACCCCCTTTTGGTTGCTATGCAAAGGGAAACTAAAAGGAACCCAACCATGATTTTGAAGGAAGCAACTACTCAGACCAACGTCAAAACATCTGTCCCCAGGCTGCTGATTTGCATTCTCACGGCATCATCCACAGCGGTTCAGTGCTAAGCATGCGAAGTGTATTTTTAGTCACGGCCGCTGGCACCAATTGAACGACAGGCTTGTAAGGATCACTGCGTGCGCGTGGGCGATGCTTTGGAAGACAGGACGGACATTTTGTGCAAGTCGACGCAGTGGGTTTGGTGAACAAATCAAGTAGGGGCGTGGGCAGACTCATTAGGTTTGTGATGTCCTTTTGCCGCAAACAAGCAAATTGGACCGTGGCTAGTAAAATGCAGCTTGACCAGCCCTTCTCCACGACCCTCAATCCATGTCGTGGCTAGGCTCCTTCGGTGCATGGACAGATGCGAGGTGCAGTGTGAGTCGGGTTGCAAGTTTCATTTAAGCGCAGCGGCATGGATTGCTGCTTTTCAAGGTGCAATCATGGTACCACGGTACCACATGGCACGGCACGTGAGGTGACAACGGCGAAGGCTGGGACCTGTGAGAAGCAGTGCCACAGCCAGGCGGGGGCTTCCACAGCATTCCCCGCGGTTTACTTGGATTGTCTCAGGTGCACTACACGCGACGCCAGGCCATGCCGCGTTGAGAGACACAATCAGATTGACGGGTAAGAGAAGGCAAGGGACAGTCCCAAGAAGTAGGTGCGGATATTTGCCCTCTTGATTCTTTGCATCGTTTTGGGTACAGCCCTTCAGTACCAAGTTTGCTAAAGACTCGATTGTGGCAGCAGTCGTTGAGTTTCAGAGCCCAAGCCTGGCCGACGCTTGCTTTTGCTCTGGGTGAGACAACAGTTGTGCATCTGACAACAAACCTTTCAAGTTGAGACCGACTCGAGGGATTCGTCACAGCTCTTCACGTGTTGGTTTCTGCCTCGAATTTTTGGAGCGGACCAAATCGGGATACCGGCCATGGCGCCCAAACGTTCTCGCCGAGCGGCGTGGCTCGATGGCAGCTGAGTTTCCTTGCGAGGGCCTGGCAAAACCTCTGCAGCCAAACACGAGAACCAATGTTTGATGTGGTTTTCCTTGTTGAGACGGCCCTTTTCAGGTTGGTTTAAAGGGAGGCTTGTGTGGAAACCACAAATAGCGTCCCGCCTTCGTGTCCTTGCGGAGGTGCAAGTTTGTGAGCGCTTTCTCATGTACCTGGCCATCTTAGGTTCCTACTTCTTTGTGTCGGTTGTATGATGCCCAGGCACGGAACTGCAACGAAGCTCCCCGCGCCCAGAAACCATTGCCCAGGTTGGCCTTCATCCCATTCGGAAAGGTGGGGCATGCGTGTGCAGGGTGACGAGAGATGGTACAACTCCCTTTGTATTTTGTATGTGCGAGTAGAGAACCAAGCCTAAGCCAAAATGGAGTGGTGCCATCGACTTTCACCCAACGCTGCAGGAATCTAGGAGTAGCTTTTCAGTGTATTGTGCCAGAGGTGTGTGTTCTTTTGCGGGTTCCTTTACGGAAACCAAAGGTGGGTCCAAGCGCAGGTGGAAAGGCCTGTTTCCGCTGGCGCGGCACTGCCCGGTGCCTTAGTTGGCCGGTGGCCGATGTGTGGTGTGAAAAAGAAACCGAATGGAATCCAACCATTTTCGGGGTTTCGCGGTCCCCTCAATTTGAGCCAAACCCATTGTGGGAAGGCGATGACATTGGAATTGGGGTGTTGAACTTAGTGCATGCCATAGATGTTAGCCCAGAGTCCCGCATGTTGTCCTTCCCTCCTTTTGTTGTCACACACACACACAACTTGAGGCTATGCCACATCACATGTGCAATTCAACTTTCATCCACACGACATTGATCCTTGAGAGATTGCGAGAACACATGGCCATATGCCGTGTTGCCCAGCATGTTGCCAACTTTGCGCGTCTGAACATGAGCAACTTTGGAGCAGATGCCGGACTCATGAGCACATGCGTGCAGCAGTAATCCAAACTACCTATGTAGCGGAAAGAAATGCCTGCAAACGGTGAGCGCGCTTTCATCTCAATGTTTCCGACCCGAATGGCAGGTTATCGGCCTCTCAAATCGGATGCTTTCAAACCTGGAGGAAAGTCTCCGCATTTCCACTCGGTATCCGAACGCTTCCAGCAGCCAGCAATACGTTTCGGCCGCAGGTATGCACAATGGTTTCCTTTTGTCCGGACAACTACTTGTTCATCTACCTTTGTGTGCATTGGTTTGAGGGGGACATGAATCTGCGAGCCGGAAGCAGCCGACGCATCTGCGGTGCACGAGAAGAAGCATCAACTGCAGAATCAAGCATGCTCCAGGGCAATTGGTATTGACGTCGGAGACACACCCTCCATCCAACCGGAAGATAACGGAAGGGTTTTGAAAGATAACATTTCTTGCGGGGAGGGCCTGCAGACTTTCCATAATCTTGGGAAGGAGGGTAGATTGTGTTGCGCCCACCTCACTCCTTCCAGGAAGTGCGAAATGGGGGAAGGCAACACAATGGACACACACCCCATTCTGCATTTTCGGGATGTTGCCAACAGTTTGCGTTGCACATGAGCAACGCCTGTCAAGTTGAGGTGGGCGGCTGCTTTGAGTTCGCCGGCGTACGCTCAGATCCAGGTGCCATCGATCGGGGCACGGCGCGCGCGCCGCACGATCTTCGGAGGCGCAGCGACCAGAAGGTCTTCCAGATTTCCTGCAGCCTCCGGAGAAGGAGCCCGAGCTCCGCTTGCGGCAAGGGTTGGAGAGACAAGGGGCCGGAGCATGTTCCCTTTGGTTTCCAAGGGCGTCGATGGTCTGGATTGAAGCATGGCTGTGCCCAGGTTTGTTTCAACAACCTCCTTGGTCGTAGCACATTCCGGCGCCTGAAGTCTGACACCCAACATTGGCAGTTGTTCTTTTCGGGTTCACACGATTGAAACAACCACTAAAAGGGGACCTGCAAAAAAGACGACCGCTCCATATGGGTGTGGCTCAAAATTAAGCAGGAGGGGCTACGCAGGTTTTGGTCCATATTTCCACTTACCAGGGTTCCATCTTGGGTACCGTGTTTTTGAGCCACAGCTCCATCTGTGCATTGCGGAAGGAAGCTGAGTACGCCTCACTCTGGAAGTCCTGGGGCTCCCAGCAACTCGGCGGGGGGATCTGACGGGGGGAGCGCTTGTGGCAGTTGGCGGGGCTGCTCCAAGTTTCGTTTTTGAGACCACAAGTCGGCTGAAGTTTTGACTTGATGTCCCAACACTTGTGTGCAAAACGGGGAAGGCCCTGAAATCCGTTCCCTTTGATTCCCATGTCCAACCCCCCAAACGGTTTTTGTTGTCCAAAGAAAGCCGGCGCCAGAATGGACGACGGCTGAGGCCGAAGCAGGTGGGCCCCGCAGATCCGAGCCTCACGGGCCTCTCCGGGGACGACCGCACCGCAATTCTGGGACGCCCGGCATAAGTGAACTCGGGATGCGGGATGCGTGCTAGCTTCACCGCCCGGTTTGGTGCGACTGTTCACCGGTGCGGTTGCAGCTTTGTGGAACATGACGACTTTCAGCAAAAGTTTGACACTGTCAGGGTCTGTCAGGGTCCTCAGGACCAACCTAGTGGGACTCCTCCGAGAGTTTTAAGACCCGGCCATGCTGGATCCCGCAGCTGCGTGAGCGGGCAAGTGTCCGTTGTTAGGCAGAGAGGCAGAAAAGCAGAAGACTGGCCCAATTCGTTTTCAGTTCGACTCGCAATACGGCAGCTATAGCCCGAGACAGGCCACCAAGTTATGTTGTTTTTCTTACGATTTCATAAGGCTAAGACGCCGCGAGCTCCTGACAGTTGCTTCTCAGCTAAGGAGTGCTGGCTGCGCCCTTGGAAGAGCAGAAAGATCGAGTCCTCGGTCAAACGTCTCCATATGTCTCCTTAAAGGGCGATCTTAAAGATTTTCTCTTGGGCTCCAAAACAATTTCAGGGTTTTTCTTCTGGTGGGGTGATATGCTTAAAGGGGAACAAATCCGTAGGGAGCGGTGCCGAGAAAGCAGAGCTGGAGCTAATCAGGTTTCTTCTGGTGGGGTGATGCTTGAAGGGAAAATCCGTAGGGAGCAGTGCCCGCACCGGGAGCTGGAGCTGAGGTGGTGTCCATCTTCGTGATCCCGGTCTTTGTGATGTCGGCCTTCGGAGCTGCGCTCAAGGTGCCCTGGGCGAGACCCGAGAAGGACAGCGAGCGATTGGAACCAAAAAGTCTTTTCGGTTGGAATGGCTTCCCAAATGGGTGGACACAAATGAGTCTCCACATTTTGGATGTCCACCAAGAAATTCCCCAAGTTGAAAAAGGCGAATTGGGGGTGCTCTTTGTAGACACAATAGGCCACATAGTCGTTGGCTCAAATACATTCGCCCTGTGAACAGGTGCTATTGTTTTGCCACTGAACCACGTGCATTTGCAAGGAGCCAGGGCGTGAGAAGAAGCTGGAGATCGATTGGAGTGACTTGAAGGACATGTGAGCATACCCAAGAGGCTTCCAACCGCACAGAGAAACCGCTGGGCGAAGTGCCTGTGTTCGATTTTGATTGGTTGGAACCATTCGCATCCCGTTCCTCCCATTTGGCATCCGCGCTTGCATCCGTGCTGCGGATGTGAGCTGCAGCAGGTTTTCGGCAAGTAGCCCGTGCATTGGAGGCAAACTGCAAACTGGTGAGTAGCCAGTGAAAAGAACCGTGCAATTTGATACTCATGGGCTTTTAGTGGGGGCCTTTTGGATTCTAGATGCCTGACAATCGTGACCTTGAAGAGGCTTCGATGTATCAAAGCTTCGTCGAAGTGTGGCAGGTGCAGCGAGAGCAAGAAGATTGCAGCTGCCTTGGCTCGCATGTTGATTCATGCTGACTTGCTTTCGCTTGTGACACACAGGTCAGAGTGGGTGTCAGCATGCACCCACAACAAATCGCGTTTTAGTGCCGCGCTTAGATGCATCGCATCTGCATGAGGTCCACAAACCTTGTCTCCAGACTCCACAAATTGCAGGCGTTCGTGGCAGTGGCGGCAATGCTCCCAGTGACTCCGCTGCTGGGCACCTACAGGGATTCTTGCAGCTGCGAATGCTGCAAAGGACGCCGAGAGCGGCTGGCAAAACAAAAAGCATGCCGCAATTGGCATAGAACCAAAGCCGCAAGGCACAAGGCATGTTTTGGGTATGCCAGGACAGGGTTGCTCGCCAAAGCTGGCGCTGTTCATAGTTGCTGGATGCTCAGCATGCGATGTAAGCAGGAGCCACGCATCCGCACACGTGAGCCAGGCCTGGACCGCCTATGGCTTCAGCACTCTTTGGCGCCCTGGGCTGTACTACTTTTTGCTTGTAGGGTCATTCAGCTGAGGGGAATGAGACAATGCCAGGACTTGGAGGGAAATATGACAATTTGAAAAGTGTTTTGATGAAGGCACAGTCTCAGAATGGTGGACCCCCTGTTGGTTGGTGTCTAATAGGAAGTAAGCTGAACCGAGCCAATTCAAGAAATGGACCAACTATATTGATAAGCCCTTTTGCCTCTGATCTTCATGCAGCTGCAGGGTAGCTGCCTGCGTCGCGGAAGAGCCCGGCGAAGTTGGTGGCAAGGTTTGGACGATCCTTCCGTAGCTTCAGCCGGCTCGCTCGGCGCGAGGTCTTGTTTCTCATCACGCAGGGCATCGCCATTTCGCTCTTTGCTCAGCGGCGCAGTCTTCTTGTCCTGGCAGAAACGCGCTATTGGTGCTCAGTTCGATGGTGGGATCTCGTAGACTTGCAGAGTTCGCCGAGGCGGGACTCGTGTTTTCACGAGCTCCCCCGAAAACTGGCAGCTGAAGTTTGAGCTTGGCCGCGCTTTTTCTTCTTCTTTTTTTCTGCGCGAGGCCAAGGCAGCGGAGAGTAGCTATCGCATGGCTCAATTTGGCTGCACAGGCAAGCCTTGCAAGTGGATTTGTGTGTAAACAGCTCCTATTGGTTGGCTTTCAAAGGGGGACTGAGAAGAAGCCCAGCATTTTTGGGAGTCCGACTTCTATGTTGAGAAACCCGCAAGTGGCTGAGTGGCTTGGCGCATCAACTTGTCTCAGGCGCTGAAATGGTGGGAGCTACAGTCGGCTCACCCATCGCGGTCACGCAAGAGCTGCAAGCTACCGTCGAGCGATTACAGCAGGAGGCGAGGGAGGTTTGGTGCCAAGGCTTGCTTCATGAAGTTTCGAGAATGACCCTGGAAAAAGCGCCAGCCCTTGTGGTTTCCTTTCAGTGGATGGGTTCATTCCCAAAACCAAGGAGGTGATACCCCACTGAGAGCGAGAAGAGAGGACAGAGAGAGATAGCCAGGTCCATGACTTGCGCAAGAGACAAGTGGCGCTGGAAGAGGAAGTCTTCTCAGCCACTTGGAGAGAACTGTAGGGGGGTGCTTGTATCTTTGAGAAGCACACTCGCTTTCAAATACTTTGTGGGTCAATGGAGTCAATGAGTTGTACCTATTCTCTAAGATGGTGTTCCTCACCTGAAACCACTACCCCCCAAGCGCTTGACGGGAAATGTCACGACTACAAGGGCACCACAAAAGGGTATCCACCCGGTTTTTCCGTCGTAGTGGTTCGGGGGCAGTGAACGCCATCTCAAATATTTGTCTTAGCACTTGACCACAGGCTCGGAGATCGCCCGAGCCGGCTCGGAGATCGCCTGAGCCGGCCCTGCTGCCTGCAGAGCCCGATAGTCCGGTGAAGGATGATGACACGCAAGAGCTGCTTTGATTGGACAGCGCCCCTGCCCTGCCCCCAACGAAAAAGGTGGATCAGTATTTGGACATGGAATGAAGCGGTCTTTCACATTGTGGTGACTGGCAAGGTGCTTGGGGGCAGCGTCCAAAGTGTCCCAACGTGATGGCAATTGATGTGCAGAGCCTGCATTCACGAACACAAGTTCTAGCGATCTCTACAGGAATTTTGATCAACCACAAGGATGTCCTTTTGCATTTCGTGTAGCTGGCTTCTTAGATGCATATGTGCCTTTTCGGGGTGGCTCGATGGTACTTCCTTCGTGACTCTTTAGGGAGTCTTGTCCAGTCAATCTTAGCCAGGACAGCGCGCGCACGAGAAAAGCGCGCACTGCAAAGCGCGCGACGGACGATCGGACGGCCTGGACAAATCCCTTTCACGCATCAAGGCCTTTCAGAAGAAGGTGGAAGCTGCCAGTGGTGGCGTTGATGCCCCGCCCCCAGCTAACTTTGGTCGCAGGTTTGTCAAGCAATGTCTGAGCTTTGCACCAGTCACATCCTCAAATGAACATGGAACATGGCCCAGAAACGGGGATCCCTTCCCCAGTTGCTCAAATACGACGGTTTCTTTTTGCTTCCCGGCACGTCAAAGCTTCGCAGGTGATGGTGGCAGCTGGCTGGCTCCCGGATACAAATCCCGAAGGGGAGGCTTGGCATGAGCAATGAACATGCAATCAGAGCAGCCCTGATACCTTAGTTGTTGGTTCAACAGACCGGCGTTTGCTTTCGGAGTTGGTACCCTTTCCAGGTTGGTCTAAAGCGAAACCAAGGGCGAGAACGTTTGCCTGTCAGGGGACCTGGTTCGTTGAGTTTTCGAGTGGCAGGATTGCTGGCTGATGAACGACAGCGTGGCACTGTCGGTCTCCCAGTCTCGCAGAACTGATGGAGAAGATTTGTTCCTCGTCGGCCAATCGATAGGGGTTGTAGTTGCTGTGATGAGAGTTGAACCGCAACTGTTTCCCCTGCCCACGCCACGAAGGGACATGGGGGGACACTGAATTTCCCGCAAGAACCAGGGGACAACCCTTCCGATCTTCCATTGTTCTGTATGGAAACCAAAGTGCATGTTCTGGGTTTGTCTTGAAACTAGGGACCCCCAACACTTCCAAGATGGGTTTCTTTTTGGCTTCCCCTTAAAGTCAACCAAAAACGAGTTCCTGAAATAAGACAGCCACATTCTGACCATGGCTCATTTGTACCCCTTTTTTGGTGGTTTCAAATGGACACCAACACGAAAGCCACCACGTTGGGACACAGGATTGATTCCCCAGTCTTTTCAACCATCGTTCTTTTCAAAAACCGGCCGTTTTCCCTCGGTCGCTGCACTTTCTAGACAGAAGGATTCCTGCCAAGAATGGAATTGGAAGGCAACAAAACACACGAAAGCCACCATTTTGGGGTCCCCCAAACAAGAAGAAGACACATCCCCGTGGCACACCTCACCGAACGAACCCCGCAAGCTCGAGGCAGCAGGGCGCGGTTCGCAAGCGCCTGGACGCCGAGCTCGCCAAGCTGCCGCGCTCTTGGGAGGATCTGTCGCCTGTCTGCTGATTTGAGGGTACCCAGTTTGTTCTTCTTCTTCTTTTTGAATTAATTCCCGCTTTGGGGTCTCAGCCCAGATAGGGTCCGGGGTGGTCCGGGGCGGCCCTGAGGCAAGGTTCCACGAGGGTTCCACCAGAGTTCCACCAGGTTCTGCGAGGGCTGCGGGGTGGTCCGGGGTGGTTTGAGGTAAGGTTCCACCAGGGTTCCACCAGGGTTTTTCCAGGTTCTACGAGGGCAGCGGGGTGGTCTGGGGTGGTTTGAGGCAAGGTTCCACGAGGGTTCCACCAGGGTTCCACCAGGTTCTGCGAGGGCTGCGGGGTGGTCCGGGGTGGTTTGAGGTAAGGTTCCACAAGACTCCATGAGGGTTTTACCAGGGTTCCACCAGGTTCTGCAAGGGCTGCGAGATGGTCTGGGGTGGTTTGAGGTAAGGTTCCACGAGCGTTCCACCAGGGTTCCACCAGGTTCTGCGAGGGCTGTGGGGGGTCCGGGGTGGTTAGGCAAGGTTCCGCGAGGGTTCCACTGCGAGGGCTGCCGGGTGGTCCGGGGTGGTTTGAGGCAAGGTTCCACGACAGTTCCACCAGGGTTTTACCAGGTTCTGCAAGGGTGGTTTGAGGTAATTCCGCCAGGGTTCC